AAAAATGTGTATTAAAAAATTATATAAAGAAGTGTGTAGGAGAAGATTGGAGATGAGTGCATGACAGTTGTATAATCTGGCAGCCGAATTCTTGGTAAGAAATTATTGGGTACTTTTCGAGCATTGTAGTGGACTGTTTTGTTCGGCCTGTGGGGGCCATCACGGGTCCTATTTTGATAATCTGAACTGTTTAATGTGTAGAACTTGTCGAGCACTATATGCCTATAAAAAATCACGTTGATCGGATATTGATAGCTATCTGATCAGATTTATTTTTTTTAATCGTTAATTATAATATCATCCATTTTTTCATACAAAACTGATTTGATCATGTAGTTATCGATATCCGATCAATGTGATTTTCTATAAACATATAGTATTCGACGATTTATACACTTTGAACGGTTCAGATTATCAAAACGGGACCCGTGATAGGCCCCCATGAGCCGAACAGCAGTGTGTGAAAAATTACCCCAAACTGTCTAATACTTGGGACAAACACTGCACAGCCCCTTTGACTTTTCATGATGGTTGAGTTGTATGATGTGTGGGAAATTATTTTTTTAATATTGTTTTTGGTGAATAGTGATAACTTTTTAACTTTTTGAATAACTTTCTAACTTTTTAGCTTTTTTCAGTGTTGTCAAACTTGGCCTAACTCTCTCTCACTCTCTCCAGTGAAAGAAAAATAATAAAAAAATCTGTCTCTCATCCTTTCATCTTCTCACCCTCACATTTCTCTCTTCTCTCTCAACCTCTCGTCTCCACCTCCGCCCCTCTCTCTTTGAACCCCCTCAGTTAGAAAATTAATCTGAACATCTCTCTATATTTGATATACTCATCAAATCCAAAATTCTTAATCTCAGCAAAGTGATGATGATGACGATTGGCAAAATTCAGAACCCAAGCTTCAACTCTCTTTCTCTGTCTCTCAATTTCAGAATCCCTAGCTTAATCTCTTAGATCAATGTGAGAGAGTTGTGGTTGAATCACTGTGTGAGTTGTTTCAATATTTGATTTTGAGATTATATATACATATTAGGGTTTGAAAATTAATGTAATGTTTGTGCTATTGCTACAAAATGTTTTTTGTTTTCATTTTTCCCCCATCTCCGTTCTTTCATACCTCTGTGTGTATAGATATATGTATATATAATATGTAGATTAGGGTTCAAAGAAAGCGAAAAGGTTACCAGTGGTTCCCGACCGAAACTCGACCGAATAAATCGGTTTCAAATACAATGGTTTCGAACTACCATATAGTCGAAATCGGTTAATGTTTGTGCTATTGCTACAAAATGTTTTTTTTTTTTCATTTTTCCCCTCTCTCCGTTCTCTCATACCTCTGTGTGTATAGATATATGTATATATAATATGTAGATTAGGGTTCAAAGAAAGCGAAAAGGTTACCAGTGGTTCCCGACCGAAACTCGACCGAATAAATCGGTTTCAAATAGAATGGTTTCGAACTACCATATGGTCGAAATCGGTTGACAAATGTCCAACTCGCTGTAGTCGGTTCGAGTGACGAATCAATGATAAATCCGATCTAATCCGACCCATGAACAGCCCTACATAGGGTGGTGACATATGCTCCACCAAGAACAAAGCTTGTGACCACCAACTTGACACAAACAAACAAAGCCTTAAACATGTTCAAGAAGTCACATTTTGTACCCTATGGCATTTTAGTGCTGATGTGAATGATCCTTGTGTATATAGGTAGAATGCAACATAAGCAATGGCTAAGGCTGCAAATAAACAGAATCGAGCTCGGCTCGGGAAGAGCTTGTTCGAACTCGATTCGTTATTTTTTTTTTGCATTCTAGCTCAAGCTCAAGCTCGAGCTCATTAAATTTTTAAAAAACAAGCCCAAGCATTCTAAAGCTCGGCTCGTTAGCCGGCTTGTTTAATATTTATTATTTATATATTAAATAATATAAAAATATGTATAAAAAATAAGAGAAATATGCTATTTATATATTTTAAAAATATAAATGTAAATAATAGTTAACTATAGATAGTACATTTATATAATAGTGGTAGTAGATATTATTATTTTAGTAAAATATGGACATTTTTTTAGTATGTTTATATATATTACATATATAATTGTATAATAAAAATTTTAATTGTAACTTTAGTCTCACATGCAAGTATGAATTTATAAATTTTTTGACTCGTTAAGGCTCGAGCTCGAGTCGAGCCTAAGCCAACCCGGCTCGAGCTCGGTTCGTTAAATTTTTATTTAGCTCAAGTTCAAGCTCGTTAAAATCTTAATAAACAAACCCAAACATACTAAAGTTCGGCTCGACTTGACTCGTTTGCAAACCTAGTGCCCATTCCAAAGATGGCCTCCCCTATGGATTCAGAATTCTAATAAAATGGGTGAACATATATACTAACAAAAATTTTAAAATAAAAATATAAATCATAATATCAATTTCTATTGATATAAAAGGAGAAAAGTATCATGAAAATATGTACAGATAAAATATATTTTTTTATATTCTTGTAAAGTTACAAAAAAATATTAACTATAAGACAATCATAGTTGTGAAAAATCTTTTTTTTTGTCCTAATCAAATTGTTAAATTTTATAAGTCCAGTCAAATCCTATGTTCTCATGGTTATAGATGTGCGAGTTGTAATCCATTTTTACAACGATATAATTTAAAAATAAGCAATAGTTAATATTAGTATATAAAGAGATAGGCGGGCAATCGCTCTCTCTGGGACCATCCTTGGTCACAACTGCTGGGCCCAAGATGGATTGCAATTGATCAGTGCCAAGCAAAGGTTCATTGACTGAGTCATCGACTGCTCAGCCATCGGAATTGCAGTCGGCCTTAATGTGTTTGTGTCGACGATAATCATAGCGACGAGGGTTATTTCGGGTCTAGGAAATCCAACGAGATATGTGGGCCTTGCAATTGAAAAGTGGGCACCTATGGGATGACATTGGATTTTTTTTGGACTGGGCCTTGCATTGCTTCCATAACAATACTATGCACACAAAGAATCAAATACAGAACCAAACATAGAAACTGTCCATCCAGACAACCAGCCGGAAGACAAGGTAATATCCACGGTCGACAAGATAATAGTTGCGGTTGACAAGATGATTGTCACGATTGACAAGCTCTAACCACAGTAGAAAAGATAACAACTGTGGTCAACAAGTTCTAGCCGGTCGACCACCTGATCATCTGGCCAGTTGTTCGAATGAACAATTTTTGTATTTGATTCTGTAGTTGATCCTTTGTGTGCATAGGCATTACTGATTGCTTCCATGGCATTCTAAAATGTAATTTCTTGAACATTTTGAAAGCTCAATGAAATTATTTGTTGACGAAAATATTAAACCAAAATAATAATAATAATAAATAATGGTGAATTATATTATCAAATTCTTTATGAAAAATATTGGAGATTTCAAAAGTTTTACCAAAATTTCTATCAAATGTCTTACATGGGTATGAAACTCACACCATGTGAGTCTCGTATGGGTCCCACACTTATGTGAAATATTTGATAAAAATTTTAGTAGAACTTTTGGGGTCTCTAGCATTACTCATTCTTTATTGATCAATAAGAAGATGAAGTGAGGAAATTATAATCATAGTTATATATTAATATTTTTCATAAAAAATGAAAGTAATATTTTAAAATTATAGTTATCATTCATTTTTTTTCCTTGCGCCCGTCCTTGCAGGCCTTCGGGTCTACTTTTAGGCCCAATTTTGATAATCCGAACCGTTCATATTTTATGATTTATTCAGTATATCATACCTGTAAAAAATCAAGTTGATCGGATATTAGAAAGTATGTGTTCGAAAAATTGAACTAAAAACTATTTTTTAAAGAATTTAATAAACAGTTTTCTGAATATATGCTTTCTGATATCCGATCAACTTGATTTTTTACAGGTATGATATACTGAATAAATCATAAAATATGAACGGTTCGGATTATTAAAATTGGGCCTAAAAGTAGACCCGAAGGCTTGCAAGGACGAGCGCAAGTACGAAGCTACAAAGAGAGAACCTTGGCTCGTTATTTCGGGTCTAGGAAATCCAACGAGATTTGTGGGCCTTGCAATTGAAAAGTGGGCACCTATGGGATGACATTGGATTTTTTTGGACTGGGCCTAGCGTTGCTTCCATAATAATACTATGCACACAGAGAATCAAATACAGAACCAAACATAGAAACTGTTCATCCGAACAACCAGCCGGATTACAAGGTAATATCCACGGTCGACAAGATAACAGTTGCGGTTGACAAGATGATTGTCGCGATTGACAAGCTCTAACCACAGTAGAAAAGATAATAACTGTGGTCAACAAGCTCTAGCCGGTCGACCACCTGATCATCTGGCCGGTTGTTCGAATGAACAATTTTTGTGTTTGATTCTGTAGTTGATCCTTTGTGTGCATAGGCATTACTGATTGCTTCCATGGTATTCTAAAATGTAATTTCTTGAACATTTTGAAAGCTCAATGAAATTATTTGTTGACGAAAATATTAAACCAAAATAATAATAATAATAAATAATGGTGAATTACAGCATCAAATTCTTTACGAAAAATATTGGAGATTTCAAAAGTTTTACCAAAATTTCTATCAAATGTCTTACATGGGTATGGAACCCACACCATGTGAGTCTCATGTGGGTCCCACACTTATGTGAGATATTTGATAAAAATTTTGGTAGAACTTTTGGGGTCTCTAGCATTACTCATTCTTTATTGATCAATAAGAAGATGAAGTGGGGAAATTATAATCATTGTTATATATTAATATTATATTAATATTTTTCATAAAAAAATGAAAGTAATATTTTAAAATTATAGTTATCATTCATTTTTTTAACACAAATCAAATGAAATTATATATAATTACAGTTATTGAATCGATCTGACTTTTATATATATATATATATATATACAAAATAACTTATAAAATGCATAAAGCAGATCATCATAGTACGACCCGTGGTAGATCCAAGAGTATCGAACTGGACTTCTCTATTGGATCCCAAAAAGTAAAATACAAAAATTCAAGTTACAACTCATTTGATTGACTATTCCATTGAAGAGGAAGAGTTTTATTCTCATCTCCCAAACAAACCCTGGCAAAACTTAAAAGCCCGTATTCTCCATCAACCCACACTATACTTTCCCTTGGCAAGTTCAAAGAGAATCCATAATATATAGTGCATGCAATAATGGGCCCAACCCAAAACACCCAATACCCATACCATAAATGTCCACCTTCCAACAAAGCTGGGCCCAAACACCTTGCTGGGTTTAGGCCCACACCAGCATAGCTGGCCTGTCCAGTCACTGTTATGGACACAAACACCACAAGTGCCATAGCCCCAGCCACCACTGCACAAACCAAAGCCAAGCCCAACTCTTCGCACCTCCTCTTGTCAAATGCCACAGTCACACCAACAAATAGTACCACAAATGTGCATGAAAACTCTAGTATCAATGCCGTTCCCGCGCTCAGGCCCGATGATGATGGCCCTTCACCGTGGATGGCACAACCACCTAATGAATACTTTTGGATATCGTGATGGCTCATAACGGACTTGATTATTAGGAAACCTATGATGGATCCAATGCATTGTGCTAAAATGTAAATGGAGGCTCGAGCAAAGGTTATGACACCCTTGAAGGCGGCAATGAAGGTGAAGACCGGGCTCATGTGGCCTCCAGAGAGAGGGACCGTGACCATGAGGAAAAGGAAGGCAATGAAGAACACGGCGAAGGGGATTGTGAGTTTTGGGTCAGGCCCATTTGAATCCAAGCATGCGATAATGCTGGTGGTTAGGGTGAACATAAGAGAAGCAGTTGCTACTAGCTCCGTAAGTGCTGCTCTCCACATCTGAAAGAAGTAAATAGAAGAAAATTAATCTTCAATTAATCTCCCCCCTCCCAAATAGTGCACATGTTATATCAATAGAAAATTACAATAGAATTTTTATACATGAAACTCAAAACTGTGTTTGGTTGAGGGATTTGAGGAGGGATTTGGAAAGGGAAATGGAAAAGGTATGTGAAATGTGAAAAAAATATATCTACATTTCACATAGTTTCACACACCTTTTCCCTTTTCCCTTTTCCTTTCCAAATCCCTCCCCAAATCCCCCAACCAAACACAACATTAAGGCGCACACACAAACTCAAATATATGCACATATCTATACTATTATAGTCTTGTTAGTGTGAAGAATTTTTCTCTTTCAAAAATTGTACTTATTTAACTGCTTCAAAAGTAGTCATAATTTGTCTAATTATTTTACATAGCTGGTGTGTGCCCTTCTATTTCTATAGCCCTGTTTGGTAGAGCTGTGGGAAAGTGCTTATAGCTTATGCCTAAACAGCTTATAGCTTATAACTTTCAGCTTAAGCTGATTTCCAGCTTATTCTTAAAGCATCTCCTGCCCCACTCAAAGAATATGCTGATTTCTGACTTCCACAAAGCTATAAGCTATAAGCTATAAGCTAAACCAAACACATCAAAATAGCTTAAATTAAGCTGAAAGCTGAAATAAGCTGTAAATAATTTTTGCCAAACAGACACTATGTACACACAATCTATAACTCAAATTAATATGTTTTGAGAAATATTAATTGTCATCAATTAGGGAAATTTAGTCAAAATTATTTCATTGGTCCCTTATTTGCTGAAAAGGACAGTCCCATTTATTTTTCTTCATAAACCGCCTATGGAAAAAACGTATAATTAAGTAAGGATAAAATAAATAAAAATATATATATATATATCCTTGGGAAAAGGATTGAAAGAATGCCCCAATCTAATTGGTCATCTGCAAGCATTGCTTGGGCCTGGTCAACATGTTACTATCAAATAGAATAATATGTTACTGTGAGATAGAGTAACATATTACTGTCAAATAGTGTAATTGTCAAATAGAATAACATGTTACTATTACTGTTTACATCAATTTCAACGGTAATATTTTTTTTTTAAAAAAAGAATTCCATAGTCAACATTGATCTTATTTGATAGATCTTGATGAGAGAATTCTAAAAATATTAATTTTATTAAAAACCGACATCTATATTAAAAATTATATTATTTTAAAGTTTAATATTTGGATAATAGTGACATTTGTTGGACTTTTCAAAGAAAACTTTTTATGTCTGTCTTTAATGCATTAAAATTTTATTATGAGGAAATTTTGACCAAATCCCCGTTTTATTATTGGTTAATATCACTTTCTACATGAATACATATGAATAATTTTTTGTTTTCAGATAATTATCAAGTAATTAGTATAAGAAAATGGAACAGGCTCCTCTCCACTTGGGTTTTTCAACTGGAAAGTGTTGTTGGGCCTTCGTGGGCCCATATCAGAGCCCACATCGATGATCTGAACCATCACGATGTATGTCGAGTACTTTATCCTTTTAAAAAATTATATTAATCGGATATCGATAGACACTTAATCGGATAATATTTGTGTCAACAATTTATTTTAAGAATCATATTTACTGTTAACACAAATGTAATTTGATCAAGTAAATATCGATATTTGATTAACGTAATTTTTTTTACAGAGATGAAGCATTTGACGAGCCATACATATTGTACAATTCAAATTTTCAATATGGACTTCATGATAAACGCACATCATGATAAACCCACTGAGGTCCAACAACACCCTCAAATCTTATTTGGACCGGTGAGGAGCCTGCTTCTAAGAAAATAACACACTGCCATGTATTCTGACGATAAGAAAAGGTTTAAAAAAAAAAAAAACAAGAAGTGATATATAGCAATCTTCATATGCTTTTTCAATTATATTATGTTGATCACATCTATCTCAATTGGGATCCTCCCCTTGAGGCCCCTCCTTCATTCCCTCCTTGTAGGGGCCTTTGGGTCCACTTTGAGGTTCAGTTTTGATAATCCGAACCGTTCATATTTTTAGATTTATTCAGTATATCATACCTGTAAAAAATCAAGTTGATCGAATATCATAAAGTATGTGTTCGGAAAATTGTTTATTAAAAAATAGTTTGTAGTCCCAATTTTCTGAACGCATACTTTCTGATATCCGATCAACTTGATTTTTTACAGGTATAATATACTGAATAAATCTAAAAATATGAACGGTTCGGATTATCAAAACTGGGCCTCAAAGTGGACCCGAAGGCCCTTGCAAGGAGGGAATGAAGGAGGGAGTTCAAGGAGGGGATCTGGACTCCATTTATCTACCACATCTTGCTTATGATCTCACATGTGTCATTATTATATTGGTTAAATCGTTGACATCACTCATGTTTGTTAGTAATAAAGAGTTGACAAATGAGATGATAGATAAATGGTGAATTGTACGAATAATTCCTATAGTTTGAGATTTGTGTTATTTTAGTCTCTGATTTCTCAATTATAATACATTTAACTCTAAATTTTGAATCTTGTTTCAAATAAGGACAATTGAAGATATCATTAAATTTTTCAAGAGTAAAATCGTCAATTTGATAAAATATAAACTAATTTGACAAAAATAAATGCCAAACAAATATTTTTGAATTTTTAAAAATTATTTCTACCCACTAAAAATAAAATTATGAAAAATTGATAAATCTTTTACACATTTATGTTTTTTTACCAAATTAATTTTTATTATATGTTTGAATGATGATCATGTAAAATTAATTTTTAAAAATTAATCATGTAATTTTTATTAATTTTTATCAATTTTACATAATTTTATCATTGGTAGATAAAAATAATTTTTAAAAAATTAAAAATATTTTTTTGACATTTATTTTTGTCAAATTAGTTTTATATTTTATTAAATTAACGATTTTGCCCCTAAAATTAAACAATGGTATTCTCAATTGTCCTTATTTGGAACAAGATATAAAATTCATGGTCAAATGTGTCACAATTGAAAAATCATGCACCAAAGTGACACAAGTCTTAAATTATAGGGACTGTTAGTATAATTTGTCCATAGATAAAACATGATAAATAAATATAAGGGAAAAATTAATTTTATTCCCTCATGATTTGAGGTTGAAACACTTTAGTCTTTTATGGTTCAAATAGAGTCAAAAAAATCCTCATGTGGTTTTAGAGTGAAGTGTCACCCTGAATTTTTTCCATCTAAACCAACCGAAACATTTTTAAGAGTGGGTTTAGTTTTCTGAAAAAATTAAGTGAAATTAACACACACAAAAAATAATTTTACTCTTATATTCTTCAAAACTAAAATTAGATTAAGATGTTAATTGTAATTAAAATATAATTAGATTAAAGTATAACATAAATAAAAATTAAGGATTGATCTAAAATATAAGTAAATTAAAATTATATTAAGATGTTAAGAATTACAATGAATAATTAAGGATTTGGGATTAATGTTGATCTAAAATATAATTTGATTAAAAAGTAAAAATTGTAATAAATAATTAAGTATTTAGGATTAATTGTAATATAAAATATAAATATATTAAAAATTTAGGAACTACAATAAATAATTTATAATTAATTTTGATTTAATTAAATTAATGTTAATTATAAATTACATGTATAAGAGAGGAGAGAGAAAAAAAATAACAAAAAAAAAACGTAAGGTTTAAGGGTATTACAGTCATTTCACACTTATTGTTAAAGTATTTCACGGGAGCTTCTATTTGCACACACCATATCCCTTCTTCCCACACACTTAATGAGAGAGTGTGTTGAAAAGTTGTGTGTGAGGGATGTGAATAGAGAGAGAGTGGTGCGTGTAAATAGATGCTCCCGTATTTCACCCTATATTTGAAGAGTATTGCTATTAGTACCTCACCAATTATTTTGGACCTCTCATTTTTAAACTTTTTTTGTTTTTGTTTTTGTTTTTGTTTTTATTACAATAATAATCTCAAATGAATTTATTAAAAAGGATATCAATAATTTTGGAACACTCAATCTCATAATTAAGCCCATGCACCCACTACATCATACTTAGGATTTATGAGAGCACCCACCTCCACTACCATCCATCCATCTTCTCCAAATCCCACTTTCAAAACCTATCTACCCTCAAAACCTTAAAAATCCTTTAGCGGCAATATTCCAGCGATAGTGGTGGCAACCATTTAATTACCCACACTTCTCTGGCAATGAAAATGAGTGAAATTTTTTTCAGCAACTACAACTCCATGAGACGAGAGGAGTACAATACTAAAAACTCAAAGGAGATTTGTAGCTTTGATGGTGTTCTTAGCTCATAAGAGATTGCCTTGTAAGAGATAAGTTTCTTTAAAAAAATGCAAAAATAATAAAAATTGTTCGTCATTTTTTTGGGACTAAACTTCCGAACATATGATCGAAATTTGGGAACACAAGTCCGAACATTATTCATTTGTTCGGAAACAAATAACCGAACATTTTTTATTTGTTCGAAAACAGATAATCGAAAGTCGTGGAGATCGCAGAACCCACCAAAGGGGAATTTTGAATCAATAACAAAAAAAAACTCGACATTTATTTTTTTAGGTCATGAACAAGTATGTAGAGATGAAATGATAATCACCTTCATAGGTTTTGTTAAGATTTTTAGGAAAAAGTTTTTTTGGGGTGTGAGATTGTGAATTCAATTAAATTGATGGAATATTTTCATAAGAATAATTTTGATATTATTTAAGAGAAGAAAATAAATTTTAGGGTTTTAAAATTTATGAGTAAGGGTCCAAAGAAATTGGGAGTCCAAAATAATCGTTGAAGTGCTAATAGCAGCACTCATATTTGAATCATAGGGAATAAAATATTTCTGCCTCAAACTATAATAGAGTAAAATTCATTTTTTCTTAAATATAATTATCATAACATTGTTGATATATTTTTAGTTAAGCCAATAGCTCTAGATCAGTATTTCCATTTTTCTTACGAGAAAACAATGTAATTAAGGTTCATTATGCTCCATGCCATTGACATAAAATGAAAAAATTTCATAAAAATGTGCAAAGAATGCAGTGTGCACTTTTCCAAGAACATTCCGCACATGTTCGTATTTTTTTTATTTTTTTTTTGCCCTTACATATAAATGTGTCATTTACACATCTATATATATGGATCATTAGGTGGTGATTACATCAAGAAAAGTTGCAATGATTTTTATAAAAGTAATAAGTCTAAGTTTATAGAATCGGGCATAGAAAATATAGTGATAAGCAAACAATTCTTATAAAATCATGTTCATCAACAGTACAGATCACTGAAATCCACCATAATAGAATTGGATGTTACCTCAAGTGAGAAATACTCATGGCAACCAATGCAAGAGAGCAAAGTTGTCCCCGAAGACTTCTTTCTTGAGAAAGTTGCCATCTTAGTTCTACTTTCTTGATCTATACTTCTATTTCTCAACTCTTCATCACCATTTTCAATGGACACAATTGACTCCATTTTTTAGTTCCTCCAACTCAAGATGAAAGTGATGATGAGAACACACACCCTCAAATTTAAAGGTGTTTATAAGCTATTAAATAACTCACTTCAAATGGTGTTTTGATTAAAATGTCCACTCTTAATTATTTATATTATCCCAAATCATATAGCGACAATTACTATTCGGTATAAATTTTTAAAAATAATTACCAGTGGTAAAGTTTATGTACATTAATAATTAAAGTCTTAATGTTTTTCATTAATCTGTAGTAATTATTTTGTACAACCACCACTGGATTGTAATTTCCCCAATCAATTTTATTCTTAACACGTCCTTCTTGTGTGGTAAGATATTCTTTTATAAGAGATTTAGGTGCCAGCTTTCTTTTGTGAGTTTTGATTGTGGCTTATTGCAAGCCATCAAGATAATTTAAATCGTTTATCTGGTAAAACATACCAAACAAATTAATCATGCAAAAAATTAGTTTAATTGAATATCAGCAACCACATGATTAGATCATCACATTTGTAATAAAATAAAAATAAAAAAATTAGACAACAAAAATGATTTTGATAATAGATTTTCAAATTTTTTAAAGAGAAATGTGATTTGATTATGTGATTATCGATATTCAATTAAAATTATTTGTTTATTTATTTATTTTTTTGAATAGATGACCTCCTCTACACGCCCTTAAGAAATAAACGGTATAAATCTTTTTAATAGGCAAAAAATTAGCCCTCACTAAAGCTCACAATATATTTTGTTGTGCCACAAATATTCCATTTATGTGGTAGGTTGAGGTTTGAACATGGACTCTATTGCTTATATTGATATCATATTAAATTATTAATTATCAATTTATTTAAATCTTAAGTTACGAAAAAAAAATAAATTATTTTATTATTTTATTCTCAAACTGTTAATGAAAACTGTGAATAACTAACTCCATTGAGAAGAAGACACTGAAAAGTATATGTGGTGTAATATGCTTTTTATGCAGATTAATTATTTGCAAGTGAGAGTGGCATTAGAGTCAAAAATAACTTGTCTTTAGGCTTATAATTGCAAAGAATATCCAATCTAAACATGGACAAACATTGATTTCTAGCTTAGAACAACAAGAACACATAATATATATATATATATATATATCACCTACCAAGAATACTTGGACGTGGGCGACCATGACAATTAAGTGACCGTTTGGGATCTGTTTTATTATATTTTCTAAGTTTTTGATTTTTTTTGAGAGTTGAAAAAATTAATTTATCTTGAAAGTTGTTAAGTTTTTTAATATAAAAGTTGATGTGACCTCTAAATTGTTTAACTAATAAAAAATAACTAAATAACTTTTTTTTTTTTAAAAAAAAAAAATTAGCTAAAACAATTTTTTGAGATGTCACCAGACACAATGCTCTTTAGTAGCTAGCTGGAGCCAATCTTTTTTTTGTTGTTTTTTTTTTCCTATTTCTTGTATTTTGAGAGGATTTTCATTTTCCACCCATGTTCGGCTTTGTTTATATTTAACAAAACAATATGAAAACATAAATTTTTTTACAAAAAAAGAATCTACCAGAATAATATCATAATGATCCCACAATGGCATTTTTTGAATAATAGAGGAAAATTATACTTTACCCCTTGGCTTATCAATCAATATCACTTCACCCCTCAACTAAAAAAATGTTACATTTTTATCATCTTGAATATTAATTTGTATTGATGTGAACCTTTTGTTAAAGATTTGTTACATGGGATAGAAAATTAACATAATATCTCAAACATTGTGGAATATTTATATTTAACCCATTAAATTATCACTTTATCACTTTACTCCCCAACTAAAAAAATGCTACACTTTGTCATCTTGAACTATCAATTTATATCAATGTAATCCTTTCATTAATAATTCGTTACATAAATAGAAAAAAAAAAAATTTACATGATATCTCAAATATTATAAAATGCCTAAAATGACTTCATTTTCTTTTTACTTCTTTTCTCCCATCCACGGTATATATTTATTTAGATGGATTAGATAAGGGAGACTGTAATTCATCGGACTATTAATTATGGGATATATAGTCTCTCGACTATTTGGTTGAAAAGGATGTGTGTGGGAACATAAATTTTGAATGACGACACGTGGCCGATGTGTCACCGGAGTGCCAGCTAGGGTGCCACGTGTCCTGGTCATGACGTCGAAATGATCTCGGCTAGGCCGAAGTTATTTGCAAAGAAATCGGAATCCGGGATAAGCAGATAGAGGACAAGAGTCCTAGAATGAGAAAAGACTACAGTTTGGATAAAGATAAGACTCTTAGAGAGTTTTTATCCCAATCCTACTGGGAGTCCAAGATTAGCAATAATCCAGAATCCATTGGGACTAGGTTTGTGTTGACTATAAAAGACAGGCACCCTCATAGGTCTAAGGCACGCTTTTTATATTCTGAATAGTGAGTTAAGCACTTTGGCTATCTTTGAGAGATAACTGACTTGATCGTCAGAGTGCCCCCGGGTGAACGAACCACCACCGGAAACTCTTCTTTTTGTTGACAAGTTATTCGAGCTTAATCTATTCTGTCAGTGTTCTCCAGTTGAATACTAGTTTGGCAGTGTGGTCAGAAATCGACACACACAATTTAGCGCCGTTTGTGGGAAAGAAAGGAGAATAGATGGCCAACGACGGACAGAACGAGAAGGTTGGGGATGACACTCCTATTGGAAGTGGAAAACCTGTTGACCTTGACGACAAAGAAGACAACTGCAACGAAGAGACTCGTGATGGAAGTCACAGAGCAAAGGACGTCGGCCAAAAGGGCGACGTGCCAAAGAAAATAGACCGAAGCGGGTATTACAACGAGGACAACCTCCAGGTATGGAAAGAAAGATGCATGCGGAAGGACGATGAGGTGAAGGCCATGGCAGACAAATTGGCGGACCTACAAACGGTGGTCAATTTCATGATGCAGAACAACGTCATGCAGCCACCATTCCCGCTGCAAGATACGCTGATTCCAGCGGCCAAGAAAGATGCCCGAAAAGATAGGCAGAAAGCAGTCCCTACAGTTCCCCAGCACACCAGGAGCTAAAAACACTCTCACCGACCTTCAAGGAAGGTCGGGCGAGGAAAGTCAAGAAGGGAAGAAACTAGAAGGACACATCGCACCAAGGAAGCAGACCCCAAAGAACATCGGCATGTTCAAAGGCAGGAGTTGTGCTTCCACACAACTAATGGGGAAAGGTCGAAGAGGGCTCACAATGAAGCTGAGAGTATTGCACCGAAAAGGCTGAAGTCAGGAGATAGCCAAGCTCTTGGACGGACCAAGGAGGATCTAAGGGATTACCTATAGAGAAGGCAATAAGATGCCGAGGTAACCTCCCCGGTCAAACCGAGAACGTCGTTCTCGATAGAATTGGACAAATTTGAAGCCTCGAAGAGGTTTAGCATGCCGAGATTCCAGATCTACAATGGTAAGTCAGACTCTAACTTTTACGTCAACTTGTACCAGAACTCGATGGCGCTACACACCAAGAACGAGCCATTGCTTTGCAAGGTGTTCACCTCATCCTTCGGAGAAATTACATCGGACTGGTTTCACAAGTTGCGAAAGGAACTGTGAAAACCTAGGAGGGCCTAGCCGAGATGTTTGTGGCCAGGTTTGTGATGAACAAACTACAGCCGTTGAGAGTAGATTCCCTGATGGCTCTAAGAATCAATGAGGATGAAGGCCTTAAAGTGGAGGGCTGGTTGTG